TTCTCTCTGTCCTCATCTGCCTCCTTTCTTCTGCTGGAGGAAAATATCTGCTACTTAGCAGGAAAAAAAAACGCCACGTCTGCTTCGCTCTGAAAGAGCAGCACCAAAGTGACAACCGCAGACGTCGGCTGCTCCGTTTCCTTCCTTTCTTCTATTATCCAGCAGAGCGCCGGCGTGTTTGTCAGCAACACCCTCCACATCAGAAAACAGCAGGGGGAGCCGCTAAGCCGACTGCCGTAGGTAAAGTATTAAGGCATGCAAATGAGATCGACTGTTAGAAAAAAAAAAAACCTTCGCACTCAGGAGAAAGATCAGCGTTTCTGTCTCCCCGTCCAAAAACCCTGCGCGTCCTCACCTGGAACTGTCCGGCGTAGTCCTCGTCCCTGGTGCCCTCCCTGCCCTCCCTCAGAGCGATGAGGGTGAAACCTCTAAAGTAAGCAGGGCTGGTTGCCAGCAGGACCACTGTGAAGGAGAAGAGCGAGAGCAGGCGTTAAAAAAAAAGACGACGCTTGAAATTAACAGAAGGTCAAAGGTCGAGGTCGTTGTAAGAAGTTTGTCTTTGAACATCAACGCGAACAAGTAAAGAATTACTACTTCTGGACGTTTAGGAATTAAACCTGCAACCGTCCACTTCACTTCTTCTATACTTCATTAAAGTATTCAATTTCAGCCCAACCTGAAACCAAGGACCAGGTGGGGATTGAACCCATAACCTTCTACACAAACATCTGTACATCTGCACTGAACCCATCAGTCCAGCAGAAGCACCGGCCTGTGCTGTGCCGTGTCAGGCAGCGGCCAAGCCTGATCAACACACCACGGCTCTACAAGGCGTGGGATTCGAACCTGCAACTCTGTACCACACACGTGTGTGTGTGTGAGTGGTACAGTGGATTTATAACGAGATGTGAGAAAAATGTTCCTCAGTTCACCGCTGCTGTGCCCTCACCTTGTATCAGCTCATTTATCTCTTACGGCGCCCCCTGGCACTGAGGTGGGGGAGGTGTTTAAAAAGTTTATAAAAATAAAATAAAATAAAAGTCCAAGCTGTAAACTTGAACTTCTGAGGGGAAACTTCAAATTTTGATGAGAAAAAAAAAAAAAGTTTATATTTTCCCCCAAAAAAGGCCAATGTTCCAACTGTCAGGTGGGACCCACGCCCCCACCTGTTGACAGCTGGGATTGACCCCCCCGGGTAAATTAAAGTAATGGTTTTTATCACTGAACAACAAAGCCTGGGATTTGAACCTCCACCCTCTAAGTAGACGGGGGACCACAGGTACCAAAAAGGGAGGGCGAGAGGGGGCGCTGTTCTAAGTGAGAACGGGTTAAAATCTCTGAGAGTTAAAAACTGAGTTAAAGACTTTAAGTCAGATTTAGTCAGTGTTAGGTTCAAGGACCAGAGGAAATGTTGGCTTCCCTCCTGACCTTCAGAGACAAGTGTGTGTGTGTGTGCGTGTGTGTGTGTGTCCACTGGCAGGAAGAGGAAGTTTAAATAGGTCAGTCATTATAACAATAAGTATCCTTAACAAATCACCACCAGCCACACAGAGTGAGTGGGGGGGGTCAGTGGGGGGGGGTTCTCCAGGCTGCAGGTTCTAACACAGTTAGAGAGAGAACTCTTCTGAATCAAAATGTGTTTAAATGAATCAGAAAATAACAATATATCGAAGTTAAAAACCGATACCGCGATTAATAAAACCGCAGCTTCTGTTCCAACAACTGAGACCAAAGAGAACTTTAACGGAACGCGGCCCATGTGGACCACATCAGCTGAAGATCCACGGACATCAAGACGTCAAGTTATTCCAGATTAACGCGCTGCTCTGTTTCTTAATCCCGACTAAAAGTATGTATTTGCGCACATTTTACGCACAGACTGCGCTCCGCAGACCAACTCCTACCTCTGTAGGTGCTGCCGGGCTGGTAGTTCTCCGGGTCTCCCTCCACCCTCAGCCTGAACTCGTGGTGCCCGTCCCTGCGCGTCCCCTGGGTCTGCGCCCGCAGGATCCGCCCGCAGTAGCCGTCCGACCGGCCGCCGGCGGAGGGCTCCTCCAGGAAGGCGACGCCGTGGCACATGAAGCCGGTGAGGAGGGAGCAGAGCAGGAGCTGCAGACGCACAGACCTCCCCATGGTGGAGGTGCAGCTCAGGGAAGAAAGAGGTGAAAAAGGAGGAGATAAAGCCGAGAACAGATCCGAATCTTCCACACGAACTCCGACCAGCGTCACAGTCAGCGCCGGAGGTGAAGACGAGGAGCCGGAGACGAGTCCATCCCGGAGCAGAAGGAGCGCGTCGGGGGCGCACACACAGCGGGGGAGCGGAGCTGGAGAACTACCGCTAATAGTACTACTGCTGCTGGTGCTGGTACTGCTGCTGGTGCTGGTGCTGGTTCCAGATCAGTTCCTGCTCAGAGAGACTCGGAGCCTGAAGCAGCGGAGTCCAAACATCCGAACCGAATCACAGCAGGCTGCTGGTGACGCGTCTGTGTGACTGGAGGCGAGGGGAAGGTCCAGAACGGAGCTCCGCACTTTAACAGCTCACAGAGCCAGCCCTCCGCCGTGCACGCGTACGAGCGCGCGTACAGCGCTCTGTGCAGTTGTTGTTGTTGTTTTGACTTCCATTCATTTACTGAAGAATTATCACGGAGCCGAACCGAACCGAACCGAACCAGTCGGACAGACCAGGTTTACTGACCTCAGTGTGACGTTGACCCAAAGAGTGAAGGAGCAGAATGGAACGCAGCCGTCATTCTCCTAATCACTTTACACCTGTGCTTGTTTTTACCTGACCAATCAGGATCGTCCTAGAACGTCTTTTTTTTTTTTTTCACTGGAACCACCGCTGAAACTACAATGACTTAAAACGTTCTGTTAAATATAAATCTAAACATTCATATTTTTACTAAACAAAGTAAATTAAATATTAAAAAGTAAATTAATTTAACCTGCTACGCCCATGCTGTAATACCTCCACGCCCCCAGAGGGAGCCCAAAGCTAAGATCAGCAAATATAAATCTAAACATTCATATTTTTACTAAACAAAGTAAATTAAATATTAAAAAGTAAATCAATTTAACCTGCTACGCCCATGCTGTAATACCTCCACGCCCCCAGAGGGAGCCTACGCCACACCTCAGGAACCACTAAGCTAAGATCAGCAAATAAAAAAGATTTATTTATTACTAATATTTTTAGGATGTTACGATGTATCGTGAGTTAAAATTCAATACAAATACGTGACAATTCTTAAAAAAAAAAAAGAATCATGTATCAAGGTGTAGGGAGTACAGACCTAGTACAGTAGGTGGCAGTATGCACCTAAAAACATGGTGATAAAATCGCAACAAAAAAATATCGTATGGTTGAGTGTATCGTTACATCCCTGATGTAACGATACCCCTGTTCATAAATGTAGTCCTTGCTGCATGAATGTTTAAAGTGATGTCCATTTTCCAGTCCAGAACGGTCTGAGAACAGGGCCGCATCCCACCATTTGAGCAACACTGTTCCACAAAGGCCCATTTCTCCTGTTATTGAAACACTTTTATCACTTACTTTGAAAATACTTTAAGTGCAGTTGTCTGATCCACCTGCAGGGGGTGGTGGTGGTGGTGGAGGTGGCGGCTAATGACTTTGCCTTACAGCAGTAGGATCAACAGTTCGACTCCTGGTGGTAAAAACACTTCTTTCTGTTTGGACTGTTTCGTTTAAATGACCACAGGTCGCCGACTAATGGTCCTGGTGCGGTCCACTCCAATTCACTCAATCTGGGCCACAAATTGGCCACAGCATGGCAGGATGTCAGGCCCGCGGGTCATTACCAGTGACCCACAGATTGGACATAATGGGGAGCTGCAGCCCGCGGACGACCACGCCATTCATTAAAGAACTCTGGGCCACATTAGCCCGTCAACCTGTCAGCCGCCACATGGTGTCCCATCAACGCCGCGTGGGCCAGATGATGGCTGTCAGTGCTGCGTCCCCGCCAGAGGGGGCTCCAGATCACCGATCTCCCTGTCCGACTGTTTTCAAACACCTGACTGTTGTTTTGTGAATGGGCCACAGAGTGGGCCGGGAGCCACGGGGCTCACATTTGGGTTAAAATGATGATTAATTGCTTTTTCTCTCGCACACGATCAATAATTTCCATTTTACAAAGTAAACGGTGCAACAAAAAAAAACAACAACCAACCCTGCTCCTCTTTTATTTTACGACATCATTTCCTGTTCGCCCGAAGGCACCGTTTTCTGCAGCGTTCTCATTTTTTCCCTCACAGACTTTATTATCCTGCTTGTAAACACATTAACAAGACAGACAAGCTCCTCCACCGCGGGAGGAGGAGGCGGGAGGAGGAGGAGGGAGGAGGCAGCGGAGGTGTCCGGGGACAGCAGGTGTCGCCAGAGAGTCTGTGAGTGGCCGGACTTTTATTTGATTTTACATCTACTTGGTAAATTTGTCACTCATCTCCCCTTCGTCAGCACGGCGCCCCCTCTCGCTCCTGCCTTTAATCTGATCCAGATTTATTATCATGAAGAGAGAAGTGGAGGGGATTATGGAAATGCAGAAGTTTAAGGCCGATATTAAATGTGCCGTTGGGACCGGGCTGAAGTTTGATGATACTTTTGATCCATTTCTCCTCTGTTCTCCCTCCATCTGTCTTCTGCTTTTATATCGTGGGGAGAATGTGCCCAGAATGTGGAGGGTTTTAGTGGAGAGAGAAGAAGAAGAAGAAGAAGAAGAAGAAGAAGAAGAAGAAGAAGAAGAAGAAGAAGAAGAAGAAGAAGAAGAAGAAGAAGAAGAAGAAGAAGAAGAAGAAGAAGAAGAAGAAGAAGAAGAAGAAGAAGAAGAAGAAGAAGAAGAAGAAGAAGAAGAAGAAGAAGAAGAAGAAGAGCTGACGGATGATGACGACGCCCCCATTGGCTGTCCTAGCTACTCTGGAGCCCTGGGCCACAGAGGCCCCGCCCCCTGAGGCCTCACCCCTCCCTCACCCACAGGAAACAATGTTCACTTTTCTATTTGACAGTAAAAGTAGGAAATTATATATAATAAAAGCTCAGCTGACGAAACTATAATACATACATACATATATATATGTATCAGGGATGTCCGATATATCGGCCCGATATTAGCATAATTATGTAATATCTGTAGAACTCGTTATCGTTTTTTTCTTCGATAACGAACAGACCCCCAAAAACTAATTTTAGGTCACACATCAATCGTCCAAAACCCAGGAATTTTGTTATCGGGTTCTAATTAACGGAGGGAAAAAAACGATAAAGATACTTACATATATTACACAATTATGCTAGTTACCCAGGCATTTTGTTATCGGGTTCTAATTATGGGAGGAAAAAAAACGATAAAGATTCTTACATATATTACACAATTATGCTAGTATCTAGCTGATTGTATCGAGTCGGCCGGCGTTATCGGACATCCCTAGCATTGTATGTTTACTACGCTGATAGTTTTACTACAATTACATTGTTTAAAAAAAAAACTCAATATATCATTGAGCCTACAGTATCGCAACATATCGCAATATATCGCAATATATCGCAATATATCGCAATATATTGAATTGTGGCCCCTGTATTGTGATATGTATCGTATCTAGAGGTGTGTATTTTCTAGAGAACGTACAATAGCAAGTCCGTTCCAAACAGCGCCACCACCAGGAGGTCAGGTGACAACGTTCCGACCGTTGAAGGAGGACTAGAACCCACTCTGACACGAAGCCTCCTCACACGGGGAACCACCTGGAACCTGATGGAACCACAGTCACCGTCAGACTGTCATGTTGTTGAACGCTGAGGTCAGAGCGGGAAATGTTTGGACAAAACACCACCGGGCTCTGCGTGTGTGTGTGTGTGTGTGTGTGTGTGCGTGATGGCTCCCATCTGGACACACTCTACACTGTAAACTGTCTGCAGCTCACGGCCCTGAACGGAGCGAGGAGTCAGAGAACCCAGTGACCTCAGAGAATGAAAACAAACCTGGTTTTACACAAGGCCACAACACACACACACACACATACTGGTGTTTGGTGTTCCTCAGGTCCTCACCTTCAGATGAACTATCACAAATATATTCCTAATCTGACCCAAATTTAATCCTAAATCCAAAATAAATCTTGAACTTCAAAATACTCTGTGTCCCCACAACATAACATTTTTAACCTAACCTGCCTGCGACAAATAGTAAATCCCTAATCCTAATTCTTACCAGATTAGATTACAGCTCTAATCTGACCTGTAATCCTAACTCTGGATTATATAAATGAAGATCATTATTATTTTTTTGTCTGTCGTCAGATTCATTTTTGATTTTTTTTTTACATGGTTAATTTGAATAGTGACACCTAGTGGGATACATGATAAATTACATCTACCTGTAAATACTCAGCTGTTCCATTCCTGCCGTCGTTCTCATAATAAATACATTTGTGTGTCATCGAGCCGTCGCCTCTAACAGGACTTTGATCGAGATACGGAGGCAGTAACACGCGGCGCGTGGGCCAAAAGAGGGCATTAAATATGAAACTAAAGTGCAGTCGTTTCCTCTGATGGAATAGAAGAGCCCTGAAAGTGGCTGATACTGAGCTCCAGTGTGTTGTAGAATTTCTAATCACTTCACAAACTCTCCTGCCCCCCCCCTCCCCCCACACTCCCTCAGCCCTCCGACACTGAAGTCTTTTCTCTGCTTTTCTTTAAATAATTATGGGTATTATCTGAAGTGTGAAGGTGGAGCGATCGGAGCTGCAGGAACACAGACGGAGGTGGGGGGGGGTAGAGGCGTGGGGGGGTCGAGGCGTGGGGGGTCGGGGCAGTTCTCTGAATTAAGTTTTTCTCCAAATGAACCATGTGACCAACTCCTCAACCCAACGAGCAGACCACCAAACCCACCAAGACCACCAAGAAGACGGGGCCCAGTAAGAGTGGTCCTGCTGGAGGTAGTCTCACACAGGGAACAGATGTTTTCATTTGAAGGAACTTTTTTACCCTTTTAACTTCTCACAGAGCAGAGTGGTTGTCACGGCAACAACAACAACAATAATAACAACAACAACAATAATAATAATAATAATAATAACAACAACAACAACAACAACAATAATAACAACAACAACAACAATAATAATAATAATAGTAATAATAATAATAATAATAATAATAATAATAGTAATAATAGTAATAATAATAATTGTTTCAATTTTTGGAGCCTTCATCAGACACTACTACACCAAAGACCCTCACACTATTCTCACATCTTACTCCATTACCCCCCCACCCTCCGGTCCATGGAACTGCAGCTCTAACTGATCAATTTCTCACAGGAAGATTAGACTGGAGGAAAATTAAATAGAAGAAAATTAAATGGCGGTGATTTACGGCGTACGGCGGTTTGAGGAGCCCAGACGGAGGATGAGGAGGTGATAACGACGCACGCCGGCTCCTCTGACTGGAGGAGCTCGGTTTAGCACTCGTTACTGTTTCCCTCGTATCGCGAGGAAAATCGTGATAATTGCAAAAGTTGCTCACTTGAAGCCCCACTGTATTCCTAATGGCGCCTCCGGTGGCAGCATGTGTTAGTTGCAGACACTCGAATAAGGTACATTTTCGAATAAGGAACTCCATTATTATTATTATTATTATTATTATTACTGGAGACTTCACCAACGTGAAACA